CATACATATACGCATTCATGCACATACACACACACACACACATGCACCCATGCATGCACACATATACATGTGTGTGTGTTTAAATTTATTTAAAATAAGTACTTTTATTAAATTATTTGAAATAAATCTCCTACTTTGCCCAATTATGTATTTTACTATATATATATCTTCATTTTAAGTAATTATATTACTATTTACTTTGAAAACTTCAGTTTCTGGAAAATTGTAAAAATCTTCTGTAATTTCCAATATTTCAAACATAGGATACCATGCTATAAAATCTGTTTCTTGCGATAAATAGCTAATGAGATCCAAAAACGTCAAGACATTAAGTTGGTTTGCCATCATAAGATGATAGGCGTCATCGATAATTTGAGCACGATTGAGCACATGAATTTTTGTATAATTGTCAGACTTGAGATAATCCGCAATTTTTTGCCAATTTGAAGAATCGTAATTAACACGATAGTATCCTATCGTAAAATTAAATAATATTATAAATTACACCACTTTAAAACTTATTAATTTATTAAAAAATATTTTTTTCTCCTATTTCAACATTTGTTACATACCTATACACGTGCGTGTATATTAAAAATTAACCGCCGCCCAATACTAACCGCCGCCCAATACTAACCGCCGCCCAATACTAACCGCCGCCCAATACTAACCGCCGCCCAATACTAACCGCCGCCCAATACTAACCGCCGCCCAATACTAACCGCCGCCCAATACTAACCGCCGCCCAATACTAACCGCCGCCCAATACTAACCGCCGCCCAATACTAACCGCCGCCCAATACTAACCGCCGCCCAATACTAACCGCCGCCCAATACTAACCGCCGCCCAATACTAACCGCCGCCCAATACTAACCGCCGCCCAATACTAACCGCCGCCCAATACTAACCGCCGCCCAATACTAACCGCCGCCCAATACTAACCGCCGCCCAATACTAACCGCCGCCCAATACTAACCGCCGCCCAATACTAACCGCCGCCCAATACTAACCGCCGCCCAATACTAACCGCCGCCCAATACTAACCGCCGCCCAATACTAACCGCCGCCCAATACTAACCGCCGCCCAATACTAACCGCCGCCCAATACTAACCGCCGCCCAATACTAACCGCCGCCCAATACTAACCGCCGCCCAATACTAACCGCCGCCCAATACTAACCGCCGCCCAATACTAACCGCCGCCCAATACTAACCGCCGCCCAATACTAACCGCCGCCCAATACTAACCGCCGCCCAATACTAACCGCCGCCCAATACTAACCGCCGCCCAATACTAACCGCCGCCCAATACTAACCGCCGCCCAATACTAACCGCCGCCCAATACTAACCGCCGCCCAATACTAACCGCCGCCCAATACTAACCGCCGCCCAATACTAACCGCCGCCCAATACTAACCGCCGCCCAATACTAACCGCCGCCCAATACTAACCGCCGCCCAATACTAACCGCCGCCCAATACTAACCGCCGCCCAATACTAACCGCCGCCCAATACTAACCGCCGCCCAATACTAACCGCCGCCCAATACTAACCGCCGCCCAATACTAACCGCCGCCCAATACTAACCGCCGCCCAATACTAACCGCCGCCCAATACTAACCGCCGCCCAATACTAACCGCCGCCCAATACTAACCGCCGCCCAATACTAACCGCCGCCCAATACTAACCGCAGCCCAATAATCCCTACAATAATGCCCCTATGATTCAAGTTTCTAAACCTAAAAAAAAAAAAAAAAAAAAAAAAAAAAAAAAAAAAAAAAAGAAAAAAAAAAAAAAAAAAAAAAAAAAAAAGAAAAAAAAAAAAAAAAAAAAAAAAAAAAAGAAAAAAAAAAAAAAAAAAAAAAAAAAAAAGAAAAAAAAAAGAAAAAAAAAATCGATCAGTTTGGCACGGGGCACTTATAAACTCAAAATTGATGATCGATGTGATCGACGTTATTGAAGTAAGGGTTAAGTAGTTTTATGATGTACTATTTGTAATAAAATCCGCAATATGATTATGCTATTTTATATATAATATCTGTTACTGCCAAATCTTTATAACCAATATGTTACGCTGTTTAGCAAAGTTCTTCAGCTGGGATTGCATTCGGTATAAGACCGTATGCAATTCCAGTTGAAGAAATCCCAGCTATAAAAGTATACCGGTCTTCTTTTCGCTTTATCCTGCAAATAAGCGCTATAATTTAGATAATATTCAGATATAATCAAGAAATATACTTATAAAACAATAAGTAAACATTTATAAGCAGATATATATACAAAATTTCAATCAATCTACTAAGTGTCACATTTTTGGTATACGATTATCATTCTTCAGGATTGACTGCACTAATCTTATTCAAACTGGTCGCAATCGAAAGCTTGCACTCACATTGTATAAGTAAAGTGCCGTTAGATTTTTGACTAACGGCTTGGTTTCTGAGGAATTTTAATCAAAAGTTTATTAAACGTAAAACTCCGGATAAGCTACTTGGTAGCGTCGCGGCTACTGTACCTAGGCAACATATATAAGCAAACCGTTGACAAGCCGAAACGTCTTTTTTATATACTTGGCGTCGCGACGCTACCGTGTCACAATACAAGTCCTCTTCGGTACCTATTAATCGATGGCTACAAAAAAAAAAAGAAAAAAAAGGGTAGATACTCCATATACATTTGAGGAGGCGCTGAATAGTAATGATTGTGAAAATTGGATAAAAAAGATGGAAAAAAAAAAAAAAAAAAAAAAAAAAAAAAAAAAAAAAAAAAAAATATCGCCTACCAACAAATATAAGTTCCAGAAAATATGTTATATCCGTTATGCTTTATCTCGAGATGGAAAATTTCACCGTCGATGGACATGTCAAGATTGAAGCCAACGTTGTGCAACAGACAAGACAGATCGTTATGCACTCGGCGGAAATTAAGCATCATACGGTAACTGTGACAGCTAATCAGACAGAAGTTAAAATTGTAAATCAAAATATTGAAAAGGAATATGACTTTTTGTGATCAATCTTGATCAAGAACTGTCTGCTGGAACAAAATTGATCATCGAAATCAAGTACACGAGTTACTTAAATCCATCAGAGCTTTATGGCTTTTATAAAAGTTCCTATGTGAACGAGAATGGTAAAACGAGGTAATGAATTGAGTATTATTAATAGTAAATCTCCGGATTTATGATTTAATGAAATGTTTTATGCAAGTCAGTACTGAATACTTCTTGAATGCCCTTTCTGTTTTGCAAAGAAATATGAGGAAAATTCTTTAAAAAGAAAAAAACCGATTGTCTCATCTTGAATTTAAATATCTTGGATGACCAATCTTATCAACAAACATGATAAGAAAGATAACTTACTATTAAAATTTATGTATTCGATTAATTGTATTATACTAGATGGCTTGCAGCCACGCACTTAAATCCTGTTTGCGCCAGAAAAATGTTCCCTTGTTTTGATTAACGGGCAATGAAAGCACTCTTCACCGTTCAAGTTAGAGTACCATTAGGCTACAAAACTGTCAGCAATATTGAATGGCGATCGGTGACAAAAATGTATATAAGTATGTATATATTTAAATATACTAGATGTTCCCTAATGTAAATTTGATTAAATGTTATCTCTTTTAACTTTTGATTATGATAGTTTATATACACGAATACTCTTAATGACATGACGTTGGAATCGCAATTCGTGGTGGACTAAATGCATTCTGCTTTTAAACCAACACGCACGCCTTGAATTATGACGTATATGGTCCAAGTGAAATTCGAAGTATATTCGTTAGTATCACTTATAACAAAGGCGCCAGCTTATTAAGAATGCTAGAAAAATCATATGGAAACGGAATGTTCTATGAGGCATTAAGTGATTATCTTAACAAAAAGTACGTTTGTAATCGTAAATATGACAGGTTTTTTTTTTGTAAATTGGAAATATTTTTCTAATTAATTAAACAAAATAAACAAAAAATCTCCTGAATCTTTATTAACGATTACTAAAAGTTTATTGAATATTGGTTATTATTTAAACATATAGACACATATACAATACTTATATATTATTTTATATATAATAATATTAATTAATAAATTATATATAAAAAATTAATCATAATAAAAAACTATTTTTTTTAAATAGCTAAATAATTAGCTTCTATTAATCATATCTCTTTAACAAGATAATGATCTAGTAACTGTAATTGTAAGAAAATGGAATTGTAATAAAACTACTCATGGTAGATATGTATTTTTCCAATGATATAAAAAAGTATTTTTTTAATGCTTAAAATATATAAGAGCTTAAATATATAATAATAATATTAATTAATAAATTATATATAAAAAAATTAATTATAATAAAAAACTATTGTTTTTTAATTAGCTAAATAATTAGCGTTTATAAATCATATTTCTAACAAGATAAAGATCTAGTATCTTTTATTACAAATTTCTAATAAGTTTTAAATTAATATTAAAAATAGATAAACATATATCTGGTTTGCAAAATTGTCATATTTGTTGATTATAATTTTCTTATAATTTTATTTTCTTTCTTGTGTTACAGTTGGCCGAAATGAGACAAATATGTCCAACAGTTCAATCTTGCGATTTTTTATCTTGTTTTGAATATTTTCGAATACTTCCTCTTCAAATTTATTTTTTGCAAATTTGTTTATCTAAAAACAGATTATGTTTATATTTATTAAAAATTTAATGACACATTGTGTATAATGATATGATAGCTTCAATTTAATATGTCAGCATTCCATATAGAACTAATGTGCTAACAAATCAGTGTATAAAAAATATAGAAAAATATGACTATTGCTATTGTTTAAAATAAATTCTGGCCTTTTATTTATATCTGTTATTGTGTGTTTTAAATCTTTCAAATTTTTTATTTAAGCTATGAAATTTTAATAACAATGGCATTCTCTCTCTCTTTCTCTCTTTCTTTCTATCGAAAAAATTTAAAATCTATAATTTTTGATAAAAGTAAAAATAAATAAAGAGCTTATATATAATTTTGTAAACAGACATTAATCTGCTAGAAAGAAAAAATTACTTCTTACTTAATTTTATTATACAATAAATTATAAATAAAAACATTATATATATAAGAAGTATATAGAAAATAAATAAAAATATAATCTTTATAAAATTTCTGGTTAATAAATTATTAATTATAAAATTATTAATTATTGTTCTTTAAAATATAATAAAAAGATATTTGTATATTAAAATTTAAATTAAATTAATGTTGAGTGTATAACAGATATTCACCTATTTGTTGTAAATTAACAATAATCCAATCATTTGGATCAATTCCATCAATAGTTATATTTTGATCTTGCGGTCTTAGCCAATGAGTGGGCAAAGTATTAGAGAAATCGGGATTTTTTTGCGTAGTAAAAGTCAGAGGTATCCACCATCTATCATTATCGACGTGCTTTTCACTTTCTGGGCGGAAATGTTCTTGCGTTAATATTATCTCATTAGTGTCATTGTTTCGGGTCACGTGTACTACAGGAAAATGCCTTTGTTTTATCCAGGTATCCATTACCTCTTTCAATCTATAAGCGTTATGCGGGACATTTGATTCATCTAGGATTGCTTGCAAAGCGTTCCATAAGTCGTCCGAAGTAGCCGAACTGAATTGACTAAATTATGAAAGATAGAAGATAGATTTGTTAAGAGAATAATAACGCAATAATTTATACTAGTGTAAATTAATTCAATTTAGTTAATTGTCGAATGTTATACATGAAGCATTCAGAATGTAATATTAATTTATTTTTCTTTTCTTCTGAGAAAGATGAGAATAATGTTTGGTAAAATTGTCAGAAATTATCTGTAATGCTGATATATTTATTAAACACAAAAAATTTTCATTATTTTAAAAGTTAATAAATTCAATAATAAAATTTTTAATCACGATGATTAAATTGTTTTATTGTTCATTGAGAAATGTAAAAAGTAGTTTTAGCTGTACAATGTTTTCTTGACAGATTTTTATGTAGGCAACTTAGCGATAACATCAATTTAAACTTTTTATTTTTAAGTCGAATTACAATTATATTGGACACTTTATACCGAAATAAAGAAAGGATAAATATATTACTTACTGCATGCGTAAATATTTAATAATACCCTTCCGAAATACCTCATCGGTAATTATATGTTGCAACATGCGCAGTATAGCGGGCGCTGCAATGTGAGTAATATATAAACGTAATTGATATAATAAAATAATATATTAGCATCCATATGTTCGTAAACATGGCTAATAAAAAAATCAATTCTTATGATTTAAATACATTTTAACAGAGAAAATTTTTCCTATTTTTCTTCTGTTGTTTTTGATTATCTATGTTTGTGAACTTGAGGATAGTGATTTATTTACTCAACCTTACCCTTGCCGTAACTAGAATAAGAGAAAAGTGATTCAATTTCTTCTGGGCTATTGACTTCTAATGTAATAGGCTTCATATTCTTAGCAATATCGATATGAAGAGCTGATTGGTGAGTATTAACAACGAAATGTTCCATTACTCGCCAATCCTCAAAAATCTAGAAATATACATGTTATAATTTCAGATCAATTAAAATGGATTAAAATCAATTTAATATTATAAATTAATGATAAAATGTAAAATGTAAAAGTAACTACAATATACATATAATAATATAAGTGTGTTTGAAGAAACATGTGTTAAAAGTCTTTTAAATGTCTTAAGTTATCATAATCTACAATAATTGACGATGCATTTTTTTTGTCATATACAAAACCGTAAATGATTCAACTATATTATATTATATTTAAATTTAATATAAAAATATAAAAAGCGCCACACAAAACTTGCAATAATGAATCTACCTGATTGAGAATGTATTCTTCGAAGAACGACGCAAATCCCTCATTTAACCATACATGAGACCACCATAATGGACTGACTACATTACCAAACCATTGATGTGCCATTTCATGTGCTGCTGTCACAGCTACGTTTTGTTTAGTAGATATCGTGTCAGAAGTTTCATCGTATACAAAGGATCGTTCACTAAAAATTGTTATAAATAATGCAGTTATGTTCATTTTAATATGCTTTATATATAATTATACAATATATTTAACGTTTATATATGATTATTCAGAGTAAAGAAAAATTAAAAAAAAATATATATTTTAAGCAAATATTTATATACTCTTTCTGAAATTTTACGAAAAATGTTAAATGTGTAAAAAATATATTACTACATACATTAACAGGAATGCTCAATATGTAGAAAAGTATCTTTCTCTAAAATATTGCATATATATACGCAATTATCGAATTATGACATCAAGCAATTTCGTATTAAATCTTGTATTTTATGTGAGTTAAGGATCTTGGTATATTATAATGATGATGATGGCAGAAGTAGCAAATAGTATAGTAGATAATAATAATAAATAATGTTAAAAGAACAGTACATATGGTATTAGAAAAACTTTCAAATGTTAATATTTACTTACGCTATATTTCCTTCTTCATTGACATAAGAAGTTTTGAAAAAACCCTGCAAGTCATCGTTTAGGATACCGACATATCGCATCTTTAGAGTATAATTTCCAGGTGATAACTCGTCATCAAAGTGAAGAACTAAGATTTGTGTTATATTGTCGTAATTATACATTGCCGGCGTGTAGACAATGTCATTATTGTCGAGCAACGATGTCGCCGCTTCGTCTATTGTTAATTCCAGTACATGCAAACTCAAGTTTTGCGTTATACGATGAATTGTGATGTTGATACTGGATTCTCCGTCAAAAGTAAAGTTACCTTCCTCAATATACGGTATTAGCTTAATATCATAATATACCGGAGTTACGTTGTCCGGTAAACGATAATTAACCGCCACGTGCGAATCATTGCTTGAATCTTTGTCAACAGGAAAAGCTACTGTAGCAAATATTAGGCCAATATTTATTAACAATTTCAGAATTGCCATGCCAATTCTCCTTTCAAGTATCTGCACAAACGTTATCAGAAGAAAAATAATATAATACAAATTGTAATTTCAGTTATTTTATCATTGCATTAAGTACATTTTAAGAAAGAGAGGGAGAGATTGTGTGAATACAAATAATATAAATTTTATGTAGCTATTATGGATGTTTGCGATAGAAAAATCGATGGATTGGTATGAAAGGTCAGTCTGTATAATAATCGCGCAAATATATTAAAGACACTTTTTATTCGACGTTTCACAAGTATGTAATTACATTAAAAAACTATATACAATTATTTACAGAACACTCAATCGTAGCATAAGTAATTTTTCGACCAAAAACCGAAGTGGGTCACTTTGATATTCAAGAAACAAATGACTTCGAATTTGCACAAAAGTAAACTTGTCGGCGACTGTTATTTTACTCACACTTGTGTGAGATGATATTTAGATTGTGAACTGGTATCTTTCATTATTTGGTTGTTCTAGATAAATCCGGAGAGATATCAGATCAAAACATCTATTGGTGTCGAAATGAACCCGAGGGAATCAAAGCTGTTTGATCTCATGCGGAAAATCTATTTTTTTCGGCCTTAACAAAACGAGGTGTCATCGTTGAATGAGTTTATGTCATCGCCTCGTTTGTCTCGATTTTATAGTTTAGAATACGGTCTAATAAACAATCGAAAAATAACTAAATAATATTAATTACGTGCAATTATGATTCACGTAATGTATTTCTTCAATACTTTAGAAATTTGATTCTTGATGTACATATTGAATAAATGTCTATACGTAGGCAAAACCGTTGACAAGCCGGAAAGAATTTTTTTATATACTTGGCGTTGCGACGCTACCGCGTTGCTTGATATTCGCCCAAGCATAATGCATGTGCAATTTGCATGCGGTAAATCACGCGGGGACCGTATCAGGCATAGACTTTTTTTTTTTTTTTAATTTCGAACAATGGTCAAATCTCTCTCTTAGTTTCTGGATAAAGAAAGAAGTGCAAAAATAATTTTAATATTTTTTAACAAGTAAACAAAAAAATTTATTACAACTTCGAAATTTTGGGCAACTGTAGCCAAATGCAAATGGTAGAGCGTCAGTTTCATATAAAATAATTCTTCTATGGAATTGATTGCACAAGGGGAGTAAAGAGAGATTGTTATAAATCTGGAATTGAGATATAATTACACTTGATAGGAAAAAAATTTCGTGCCTTTGTGCACAATAATTAGTCCTATAGAATAATTATTTTCTGTGAAACTGACACACTTCCATCTGCATCTGGCTCTTAATTGCTCGCAAAATCTCAAAGTTGTGATTTTCATTTTAGAGCCTTATAAATGTCTTTAAAAAATATATATATTCTAAATTTAAATTAAATGTGAATGATTTTAATCTATACATTTACAATGCGTCACGGTTTTATTGCTCCATTTTAATGAACATTCATGACAATGTTTTTCTTTTTATAGATATAGATATATTCTACATTATGATATATCAAATATGTTATATGGAAAATTTCTCTCTTTCTCTCTCCCTTTCTTCTACCAACGCTTATTGATATTGTCGTATACATAGTAAAAATATTGATTATATACACTGTGGAACAATTAAGTTTCGAGACTTTCGTATAAAAAATTTATTTTTAATCGTACAAACCTTAGACAATTAAAAGGTTTCAATGTAGTCACTACCTAACTCGACATACTTAGTTCAACTTCTCCGCCATTGCTCAAAGCAGCTCTGATAGTCCTCTGAAGCAAGTCCTTTCAAAATTTGATTCATGTTTTTTTTTATGTATCTTCGAAACATTACATTTATGCGTAGTGTTCCTTCCATTATACCGATTTTTAAACAAAATTTTATAACACAATTTTGCGTGACTGTATCTCATTAACTATTGAACCAAATAGTTTAAAACTTGCATCACGTGTTGAGTATTGAGTTGTGAATAACCCTTTAAAATGGCAGCACAAACGAATCAAACGTTCGGAAATGCGAAGCGAGTCTCGAAACTTGATTGTTTGACAGTGTATATTCATATTTAAAATATTGACCAGATATAATCTTCGTCAACATTGTAATTAATTATTTATTGTTGCCAATGTATATACGATTAGTATTACCTTTACGCTATTTATATATTTGCGCGAATAATCCTTGAAATCGGATCACGAAATGTTGCAACAGCTTTACACTTATTGTTAGATAACTATCACCTTACTATTCGATAATAAAATAAGTGCCTCTACTTATAAAGCAAAATGAATCTAATCATTGACATTCGATTACCTTGTATAAATTCGAAATGACTGTCGGATGTTTGACGATCATCCATTGTTATTTTAAATGTGTCTACAGTATGAATAATTTATATTATTAACCTATGCTTTGTATTATGAAACGGCAAAATATGAATTATGTCAGTTATAATTTACAAATACCGGCAGCATAAAAAATACTATTAAAGCGATTTTTATCTCTAAGACAACAAAACTTTTATTTCGATTTATTTTATTATTACGACTATTTTTTAAAGATGTTCATTGTATTTTGTGTATAAAATAGTTACAAATATTACTTTATTATAATTATTATATAATAATACAAATTATATATCGTATATCAGAGATGTGCATTTTATTAATTTTCCAAAGTGTAATACTACAAATAAATGATCTTTTATTAAGTATTAAAGTTATATTAAAAACATTTTGGAATTAAATTATTTAAAATAAATAACAATCGCGATAACAATCAATCAAATTATTGCAATACTTTTATGATTCAGTAAAAATAATATCTCATGAAAATGTCTGCAAACGTCTTAATTCTATTGTATATTTATTAAAAATTGATAAAAAGATCAATGTCTTTTCTCTCTTCTTTTTCTTTCTTTTTATTTCGGTTATAAATAACTATAAATTACGTTAAACTTATTGTATAAGTGATATAAATAGCAATCAGCATATGTAAGTATATTTACATAATCATGCACACACAATTATAAATCTAAATTATATATTTCTTAATTAATATGAAGCTGTTCAGATAAAATATAATACATGTATGAGATATTTCATTTTTTCTCACTTACAAAATCAAGTGCAAGAATGTCTCAACAATAGAATCAATATTGGAAGGATCGAAAAAAATGTTGTATGATATCGAGTTGATCGAATCTAACTTAATCGATTAGAGACATTATAACACCATAATGAATTGCAAAAGATACTATGTATTTGAATTTCTCAATTGAATCGTGCGAGTAGTACTGGAATGATCACTAGAAACGATGCAAGAGTAAAGGAACTTGCAGAGTTTGGTTCTTTTTGTTCGTGATTTTTATCGAGCCATTTCTGAACTTCTGGTCGATAGGTTTTAATCCAGGCAAGGTTTTCTATCGCCTGAGCCAATCCTGTAAACTTTTCGAACTCTTGCACGTATTTGTGGACGACTAGTGACAGCTAAAATGTAAAAATATTCTCATATAAAGAACTTGTAGAACCATCAATATCGACTGTGAATGCTATTGGATTTTTAGATATAGTGCGTATTTGGTGATGCTACATGTTAAAGATGCAATACCTCGCGAAATTGTGAAATACTTAATCAATCTACTCCTAGATAAGATGTAAACACGATCAAGAACAAGATAGAAATGGAACCTCTCGTAGATTATAATTACTTTATTTACACAAAAGATATATTATCGCATTTTAAAATTCCTCCCGTCCACATATGAAGTTTGTAACTGCTTAAAAAAAGTTCAAATTGAAGACGATATAAAATTTTGAGAAAAACTTTCCCAACATTAACTCTTAATATAAAATTATAAATATTAATTAAATTACATTGCAAAAATTATAATAAAAATTAATTTATATCATATAAAATGGCACTTTTAACATAATTATTAAATTGGAAATAATAGATCAAGGTTTTCAAAAAAAATATATGTCACATAAAGCACATGAAGTTTATCTACTAAAAAAGCGCAATAAATCATATAAGAATAATATTTTACCTGTATATATTGCTCGTCAGTTGTGACTTTAATGGCAAGTTTATTAAGAAGAGCGGAAAGTTGTTTGTTATTTTCATCTCTGTAAAGAAATTATATTATTAACTTCATGGTATCTATATCTATAATTCATGGTATCGTATTACCAAATTATATATAAGTAACAGCAAACAACTTACATCTTTTTGATTTCATTGATATGTTTATTAATGAAATCTAGAAGAGCATCGAAAGACTTGGCGTTACCCGCAGCTATCGAATTCATCACAGAGAAAATATCTTTGGCATTTTCTTCGATAGTTGAGTTGAGCAATTTGTCTATATTTTCCATGGATGCGCAACCAAGACCATTCAGAATGTCACCCCGTTCGTCTATATCTGTGCTGTCTTGAAACTTCTTTAAAGTATTTTGCCACGTCTCTGCATTCGCCTTTCGCAATCCAGCACAAATAATTCCCCTTCTCAAGTCTGGCGAGAGTCTACAAATTCATGGCCAGTAATTATCATAACTATATATTTTTTTTATTTGTTTATATGCAGGGTGTTAAAAAAACCATTCAATATTTATTTGGTAGATAGGACACACCATACTGAGTAAATATACCTTACTAAACATAAGTCGAAAGCTCAACCGTTTCTGAGATATAAACATTTTTGTATGTTAGCATCATGATTGACTTACTGACTTCTATATATATATATATAATATTTAGAACAGAGATTTATAGATTCGTAAATTCTTTAATACTACATTTATACCGAAACAAAAAAATATATTGTATATTATAATGCATCATTAGATAATATATTTCATATTCAAATTACGTTTGTACGGTGACTTTGTAATGAAAATATAAATCGTTATTTATAGCAAATGTAATCTTAATTATAGGTTCACAAATTATTAAGCACAGGGCACGAAATTTATTTGAATTTGTGAGTTCACTCGAGAGCCTAATTTCTTAAATTTGTTAATTATTATTACTTTAATTGAAATATTTAAGTATTTAAATTAAATATGACATATTAAATCTAACATGACGTATTTGACTTAAATACTTAAATATTTCAATTAAAAAAATGATAATCAGTTGAACGCATTTAGTCAAGTTAACAACTTTTTTTTCTTAGTGTAGGTTCAAATTACGGTAAGCTTTTGTACTTACTTTTTTCCCCCTTTTTCTTTTAACCATTGTTCGAGTTCTCCCTTAGCGAAGTTTTCGCAGTCTTTTTGTCCATATTTACAAGCTGTATCGAGTGCCAATACTTTGCCTAGTTTTGTCACATGCGAACCTTCGGGATCTGTGTAATTAACTTCGTTTGCAAACTTTTCTATTTTTTGAGCGACATAAGCCTGAAATTCAGTGGTATATTAGAGAGAAAGAAAGAGCATTCGCAAATATCTTTTTCTTACACTTTTAAGGTTTATAACACAATCAGTGAGAGCACGTGTATTTTATCGTATTCAACTTACATGATATTTATCATGGTTTTCCATGCCCTGTAATATACGGTCCAGATAATCGAATGCTCTGATAGCCGCATACCATGGTATGTAGTCGGTTTCTTCGTTCAAATACTTTGTAATCTGCAAAGCGCTATCATAGTTTAAGTATCCCGCTCGCGCGAGATTTAATGCATCGTCTATCAACTGGGCACGGTTGGTGTTGCTTATATTTTTATAATTTTCTGTTTGTAAATACACCGCTAGACGATTCCAATTGTCGGGATAGTAATTGACGCGATAATATCCTGCAAAATGATATTATCTTGGATTTTTACGTAGCAACGTTTCTTGTTGTTTTCATGATAAATTTGTCTACGTCATTTTATAACGATGATTGTGAATATAGTCTTATGACAAATATGATAATTTGAAATAAATCATATTATTTTTTTATATTATTTGTCACATACTCATACAATTTTATTATTACATAGAATATTAATGGCAACGGCAAAGTTAAAAGCATGTGCGTTAAATATGTTTTGTTAAATAATTAAAATATATTTTTTGATATATAAATATACAAAAGTTTCTCTACTTTAAAAAAGCAACGAATATAACATAAACTATTTTTACAATTACGGGAATTTCTTCGTTATATACTCTCTTTGTTTCTTATAAAGAGAATATGTATATAACGGAATAATCAGTTGAATCATCAGTTATTGGAATAATCAAATTAATGATTGATCATTAAAGTATTATACTGACGCTAAAAATTGAACAGCGGCATAACAATGCATGTGTACCTGTCTGATCCTTATTGAAAAGTATCCATTGTGTATCGTTCACAGGAACTGTGTTATTATGATCTGGAGCACTTTCAGGTTTCATCAACAATGATTTTGTATTTTCGGGTGCTTCTTCTGTGACGTAGGTGATGGGTATGTACCATTGAGTCGTATCCTGCTTCGCTGGTTTTACCAAGTAAAATCGCTGCTGTTTCAGATAAACTATTCTAGTTGAATTCTCTGGCCTCTCGACCGTGACAACAGGATATCCCGCTTTGTTTAACCAATTATCCATAACTTCATAAAGCGAGAGGTTATCTAGTAAATCTTTCTTAATGTCATCTGTTTGGATCTTTTCAAGAGCTTCAAAGAGCTCATACGGAGTAACGGAGTTATATTTACTAAAATTAAAAAAATTTATTATTATTCTACTAAGTATATTTTTTTAGAATGGTGCATATACAATATATATATATCAGGTCTACCGAAAAGTTCTGTCCGTTTTTGGAATAAAACAATATTATAATATTATTTGATAGCTTTGTACATTTTGATAACTATTTAAAAATTAATTAAATTTAAACATATATCAACATAATAGAAAATAAATAGTATAAATAAATAATATAGAAAATAAACAATAAAATGCATTTAAAAATGTTGCATATAAAAATGTATTAAATTAGCACATAAATATATATGTATAATTATTAAAAATAATTATAATATTATATAATGTTTAGCAAATGTAAATATTTATAAAAACCTTTTTTATTATTAGGAATATGCAATAATTATAATTTACTGACTTACTGTTTATTCAAATATTTTTTAAGTCCTTTTTGGAAGACATCTTCTCCCAAATATTTTTGCAACATCCGGAGAATAGAAGCGCCTATAAATTAAATAAATTAGAATACCGATAATTACTTTTATTGCATTATTAAAGATAAACTAAAAAAGCTGACTTACCTTTTTTGTAGGCAATATCATCGAACAAAGCTTGAATTTGATTAGGAGTTTTTGTATTGATTTCAGAATTCAATGGACGAGTTTTAGTGGTTGCATCAATAACGAATGCGGATGCTTGTAAATTTTTGATAACAAATTGATCCATAAGACGCCAGGACTCATCAAACTGCAATTTAAAATAACATTATTTAAAATAGCCAGCGGTTTTGTTATCTATTACGATTCTGCAATCTTACGATGCATTATTTTATTGCTGACATACAATACAGTGTAAAATAAATCGATTATAATGTTGATATAAATTATGTCTTTTATTAATATAAATATGTTAATGTATTCAATGCCTTTTCTTAATTAAATTACTTAAACAGAATCTATCTGGAATTTTTATAGTACACATAAAATTTCTTATTTTATTGTAACTTAATTATATATATATTTAATTTTTGGTATTTTATATTTACCAGTGTCTGAACAACCTGTTCGGTTGTATAATATTGAAAGAAGGTGGCAAAACCTTCGTTTAGCCAGATATAATCCCACCAATCGCAAGTTACTAAATTACCGAACCACTGATGAGAGAATTCGTGAACTATCACTGTCGCTATACTCTGTTTATCTTGCGTAGTTGTTTTGCCTTCGGTGTAGAGAAGCGCAGACTCTCTTGAAAATAAACAAGACGTTATTGTTAATGCACTAATAAAATGTTTATAAATATGATATTAAAATTTGCGAGATTGTAAATAAAAATTATATAATGTATAAAATGGTCGACATATTTGTTTAGAAAAACATGAAAGATATGTAATAAAAATTTTTATATTGTATACAGAATTGAGATTAGCGCATTACAATATGATAAATTAAAAGATCGATAGATAAAGCTGTTGAAATTTGCACGTTTAAGATAAAGCGGTTAGGGACTTTGTACTAATGAAGATATATAGAGGTTTAAGTCTTGATTATTTTCCAATTAACGATTTTTGACCAATATTACCTATAAGTCACAAGACCCCAATTCTCCATAGCACCGGCCCCAAAATCTGGGATTGAAATTTGATCCATCTTCATTTTTGAATTGCTTGGCTGGTAATAACCGATACCAGTAAAGGTTTTTAATTTTTTCAATGTTTCTTGCCCAATTTTTAATGCAAATTCTGTGCTATTGATCGCATTAGGTCTTGTCCAAACGCCAAACGTTTCATTCCCCTTCTTTTTGTAATCCGAAACTACAAAGGCCACGAGGTAGGTAGACATCTTTGGTGTTTGGAAGAAAATCGTCTTGTTAGTCTCTTTGTGGTTTGTATCCTCAAGCATATTCGAGACCGCACGGTATTCCGTATTAAGCGCGCTAGTATTGATAATAATCGTAAAAGTTGCCTTTATTGCAGGTTCGTCCCAGCATGGAAATGCTTGTCTTGCGCCTACTGGTTCGAAATGAGTCGTTGCGAGCCATCTATAACATATAAAAGATCACATTATTACAAAGAATAATTTTCTATTTTATTTTATATACTTGCGCCTATTAAAATAAAATTATTTGTTTCAAAGAAAACATTTATTTTAATCTTAATTTACTAGTAAAGTTTAAATCAACATTGTTCTACAAATACCAATATCTACAAATATTAATATCTACAAATAGAATTGATCATTCGGTTCTTGTGACAAAAGATTTTTAGAAAATCTATATAAAAAAAATTACTTAAGCTAGAATGTTGATAATGCAACATTTGCTTGAAATCATTGTAATGATTTTTTAAATTTAGGTATGGTATAAAGCTTATATTAGTATAAAAGAATTTTAGTCTTAAAGAAAATTTAAATAGGTTTTTACATAATTATTATTTTACCTTGTTTCGTTGTTTTTGTTTTGGTAAGAACTATTATAGAAGCCACGTAATTCATCATTTTTTAACACTCCAGTATAGTTTAAAATTAGTTTTACATCTTGCATGTCACTCGTAATTTTTTCTTTCAAAACTAGAGTTACAAAATCTTTTTGCTTGTTTAGTATTATATCTGCTATAGTTATATTTTCGGTTTCATTCTTGTACATCAAATTTATTTCTTTAAATTTAAGTTGCTTGGCATGAAATGTTATAGTCGTAGTATTTTTCTTAATGTCGAGGTCGATTTTAGAATATCCGTCGAAAGTAAAAGTCTTTTCATCCTTGGTGTCGAGATATGGCGTCAATTCGATGACATAGTTTTTAGGCACGACATTGTCCGGCAATCTATAGTCGTCTAGTACTTCGTGAATGAGTTCCGGAGCTACGTTTTCAAAAAGAGGATTGCCTGCCCAGCAAGTTGCCAGGGCAAGCATCAGTGGCAGCAGATATTTCATCATTAATATCTGCTATAAATTAAAGAATTTTGCGCGATCTACCCTGTTATAAATAAAATATGAATAAATAGTAATAAAAGTATATATCCAATAGTGTTGATGTTTTGATGAGAATAATGTAAAAAAGGAATATAATTATTGATCTTTGGAAAATATTTGAATAAATATTTATAATAATAAGCAAGATTCTCTTGAAATTTATTGACAACTTGACAACCTAATAACTATTTCTGTTTAACTTTAAATGAGAATTTGTAATAAAATAAAAAGAAGAAAAGATTCAAGGAAAAAGATATTACATATGGGTATTTAAATTATGTACTACACGAGAAATACAACTTCAATAAACATCTGCTCGCGCTATAAGTTCTTGTTATCAAAAATGCTGTTTTTACATTAATTAATAATATATTATTCTATAGGATAGAAAATAAGTTCTATAAAAAATATAAATTTGATTTTTTATCTTAATTCACTTTAATTTTTATGATTAAATTATTAAAATATAATTTCCAATGTATTATGTTAGATGTACGGTAAATTTGCTAATAAATTGATAAAAATGAAACTGCACACACATAACCGCAATTGATTGTTATCAAGAGTAAAATTATTGTATATATAAAAAATCCTTTATACATATACTTTTCTTCTTTTGTAATAAAATTAATTTTCTCTTACATAAATTCAATTTTCTTATTTTAATGAGATCGAAATAACGTACCTTAAAGCTAATCAAAGATGAAGAGCCGTGCGGGTCGATGCCACGTCCCCGCAGAGGCAAGGTTTTATTGAAAGACTGCCGGGCCAAAATTCGGCGCCTTATAAGGCAACGATGGTGGGACGTATCGCAATGTCGCTGCTTTTTCTAATCTTATCGCGACAGTCTCACAGAACAGTAAGTATTATATTCTTTGGGGTATGATCGCTAAATGGACTATTCTGAATGCGACTCGCAAAATTTCCTGGGTAGTTTCAACATTGACAACGCTGATAATGCGATAACTTAAATATTGTTATCCGGCCAATCAATGCCAAGCCAGGTCATAGATATCACAGAAATCCCACTTTTTATCGCTGATATCTTGTGAAAAGTGTCGATTGCTTAAGCTAAACGCCGCATCAATTTGTTATAGACTAGTAAAATTAGTATAAAATTTTTTGCTTTTATATTAAAAATTAATTTTTTATAAATAAAATATTGTTTTAATTTGAAAAAAATCTACATATAATATCTTTTTTCTCGTATTAGATGTTTGAACAGAAGAACTATGCAACGTTAGAAAAAAAACAATCTGAGAAGCGATTAAATAATGAAACTTTTCAATTTTATTTAAAAAAAATTAAAATAATTATAATTGTGTGTTTTGTTCAAAATCCGTCTTTTCCAGCATCGATACGACAAGTGGCATATTTAATCAAAATTTAAAATAATTTATGGAGATTCTGTTTCACAGTATAGCTTTTACAGGTCGCCAGTGTTTCCGAAAAATCTTCTTTTTATGGGTAATTATAATTAATTTTTTATTCGTAAAATTAAAATATAATTATAGTTATAGTTGCGGTCGATTATAATGATATAAGATTTATTATTGCATTGTGATTCTTTCTGTGTATGCATTATTAACTTTATTAACATTATTTAATATATATAAATTTATTTATATTAAATTATCTGTGCAATATGTGTAAATATGATATTCAAAATTAATTCTAATGTGTTCTAGTGTTAAAGCGTATAAAAATATTCGCACGTAATAAGATTTTTTTATAAATCTTTTTTATCATTATTTACAGTATATTTACGCAGAAAGAGATAAAGATTGATCCATTCGGAATATCATCAACGCAACATACAAACAATGTAATTCAAATTCGCAAAATATTAATTTTCTTGAGCAAAAGTTTCGTTGCGTTATATGTATATGTATCTCTTTACATTATTAGCATTATTAACACACACACACAACCAAATCATAAAATATATTGCAAGAAACGCGCAAACAACATGCAAACAATTACATAAGTTAATATACTATCAAAGATAATAAAATTATTAGGTATAAAATAAAAAGAAAAGATATACATATAAGATATACACATATATAATATTATATAAACGTTTATCAATTTTATATAAAAAGATGAGAAAATGAAACAATTAATAATCTTGATAATTTGTTAGATATAATTGGTTAGATATAATTCTCTTGATAATTGTATTTGAGTAATCAATTTAAGTATAACATTTTTCGTTTTATGCACAGATAATTAATATCGAAAAGATTAAAGATTAAACAATATTCAATCATCTTTTCTTGTATCATTTAAAACTTACAAATACTCATATGCTCAGTAAAATTATTGAGAAAATACTATGTTCTCTTTTTACAAAAATCATTTTAATTTTTTTATTTTCTTTAAAGAAAAGATTTAATAAAGTTTCTTTATTAAATATTTTCTAAGTTTCTTTATCAAACGATAATGTATGACAATATCTCGTACGTTAAATATATCTAATTAAAATAATTTGCATTAATATTTAGATATA